GACGTAGAAGTTCCTCGCTCCTGGCTTCAGCTTGGCCCATCCTGGCCATTGTGTCATTAGAGGAGTGAACAAACAAAATGGAAGATCTCAATCTCTCTCTCTCTCTCTATCTCTCTCTCTCTCTCTCTGTGTGTGTGTATGTATCTATCTCTTCCTCTCTCTCTCTGTAACTCTGCCTTTCAAACAAATAAGTAAATACTTTAAAAAAATTTACAATTAACTTTCCTTATTCCCAAAATTATGTGACATGTTCTAATTCTGATTCTACCACTTAATATTACCCATTTCATATGCTTATTATATATTTTTCTTTTAGTTTTATATCTGATCTCACTATTGTGCTCCTCACCTGTTACAGTTTATCCTGCTTACCACTTGACAGAATGATATTGCTGAAATATTTCCTTAATCTATGAAACCTTTATTCAAAATCCTTTAATGCGGCTCCACTGCCTATTAAATGAAATCCAAATTCCCAACTTCCCATTCAAAGTCTTCTAGGACTTAATCCCAATATACTTTATAGTCTTATGCGGCCTTCTTTCTCTGGGGAGCACTCTGGAAGGGTGTTTATTCTCTCTGTCTCTCTCACTAACTCTGCCTGTCAAAAAACAACAACAATAACAAAATAAGTCATGGAAATTTTATTCTTCTATCCTTTAAAAAAACAATTTTGAGGTATACCTATAGATTACAAAATAAAGTATTTTAATTAATCAATCATTTGTATTATATCAGTAATTTTACCCAAATAGGTATGCTGAACCTTTACTCACATTAAAAATTACAGGATGTTACTGTTTTGGACTAAGTTCCTCCACAAGCCCCAACAGTTTTAGCCAAAAAATCAAAATGGAGTCACTCAGGCTAAAGTTCCACATCACCAAGGGAAAACCAAACTGTTTATATGGCCTTCTGAGAAATCAGGAGACAGAAATAACCAAATCGCCGAATAGGCCAGTTTGTGTTGGCATGGTAGTAAGTTCCCTCTTACCTTAATCTTTATACAGAACAGTAACCTGGAGTAACTTGACATGAACCAATCAGTTATTTTCCTGTTGTTCTGTTTCCTTGTCCCCATCTTATGGAGAGAGTGGTTTTCTTCCTCTTTTTTTTTTCTTTTTTTTCTTTTTTCAGTCTTTTTCTGTTTAAAAAAACCGACCTCTTCTGCTCAGCCCACCAGAACATTCATTCTGTTTCAGGAATGAAATGTTGCTTGGGTCTAGAATAAAAAATGAAGCCAATTAAGATCTCTAAACTAAATTTGTTGTAATGTTGCGGTTTTGCCCTTGGACACAAGCTGAGTGCCCTGCTTTGTTGGGACAGAGATGCATTTGAGGAGATCTCGTCTGTTTTTTTTTTTTGCTTGTCCAATATATATACTGCATAGTTCTAACACCCATAGTGCAGTTTGTTCACTGTATTACTCTGTGTATGTCTAATTTTGTGTGAGGTAAGGTTTCCTGTGCCTTTATTTCATATTCGTTTTGAAACATGAAGTTTTAGAAGACACAGAAACATACCACATATCTTCTGTTTTTTAGTTTGATTTATGTGAGAGGCAAACTTTCAGAGAGAGAAAGAGAGAGAGAGAGAAGTCCTCATCTGCTGATTCACTCCCCAGTTCCCCACAAGAGCCAGGGCTGGGCCAAGCCAGATCCAGGAGTCAGCTCCCCCTCATTTTCTCCCATCTGGCTGGCAGGGCCCCAAAAACCTGAGCCAGCATCTGTTGCCTCCCAGAATGCACAATAGCAAGAAGCTGGATTGGAAGAGGAGGATCCAGGACTGGAACCCAGGCACTCTGATGTGGGAATACAGGTGTCTCAAGCAGTGGCTTAATCACTGTTCCACAGTACCCACCCCACATATGCAAATGCATTTGCTTTGTTTTATTAAATAGAGAAAGAGGTGGTGTTGTGGCACAGTAGGCTGAGCTGCTGCTCCTGGCTACTTTGTGCTTTGGGTTCAGTTTTCTGCTAGTGTGTCTGGGAAGGCAGCAGATGGCCTGAGTACTTGGGCCCCTGCCACCTATATGGAATACCTGGATGGAGTTCCTGGCTCTTGGCTTTTGCCTAACTCAGCTCTGGCTGTTATGGCCATTTGGGGAGTGATCCAGTGAATGGAAGAAATTTTTCTCTCTCTGCTGTTCACCAAGCCTTTCAATTAAATAAGTCTTAAAATAATTAGAGGAAATTTTTGCAGGTTACTTACGTTTTTACCTGGTTATTGTAACCATGATTTGTATTTAGAATGCATCCTATTAAAATCCTTGGAAAGTCTATCTTGAGCTTGGCTATTGCTTGAATGTCAGATCTAAATGATTGCATTTTTCCCATGGGAAGTCAGATGCCCCTCACCCAGTGATTACATGGAGGCTGGCTTGCTCATCATGGAGAGATACTTGGGGCATGGATCCAAATAAATTAGAACTGGAACCCAGGACCCAGTATTTTCTAGCTCTGTGACCTGACATAGATAATCAAAATTCTGAGCTTCAGTGCCCCCATGTTTCAAGTGTTGATCATAATAGTGTATCTTACATGTTTTAGAGTGAGGTTAGTAGGTGTAAATTGTGTGGCAAAATGCCATCCTGGAGTATACAGAACATTCAATAATAATGGATGGCTCATTGTTTCTCCAAAGGTTACTGTAGTTTTTTCAGCTACCAAGATGCACAGCTGTGCTACCATCAGAATCACTCTCACCTCCTTAGGTTGGGGACCCTTTGTGACAAAGAGCATGAATTTCCAGAACAGCTTAACATAATGTGTGATCAGGCAAAGGAATGAAACCGTCTGGCTTTCCAGGGAGTCAACACATGACCTTGGCTTCTTCATTATTATTTATAATTTTCAGAGTTACCTGGCCTCAGATTGGTGAAGATTCACTGATGTTAATGTGCATTGCATAGTACTTCATGATATTAACTCACATGATGGAAAAATGCACTTGAAAATATGGCTACATCAACATCAGAGAATCAGGAGATTAAATTTAGCAGTTCATACTGGCAGACTTGGTCACCTTCTTTGACCCAGGATATAATTTAAGCCAAGCTGACTTTACATGCTGAAAAGTATGAACTAATTGTGCATGTCAAAACAAGATCTTCCAGAAGAGAGGAGGGCTACCTTTCCCCTATTTGAGAGAAGAGAGAGGAAAGGGCAAAGCAGAGAATCTCTGGAGACTTGTGTGCAAGCTTGCTTCTGGCTACAAGTTAATAATCAATTGCCTCTGTTCTCAGCTCTGAGCCCTGAGAAAGTGGCAAACTCGGATTCTCTCTCTTTTCAGGTAACTTTAAAATTACACGAATTGTACCTGCATTTGGCTACACTTTAGAAGGTAGATATGTGGTTTTAATTTTTATTCCTTTAGCATCATTTGATTTTGTGTTCAAGTTTATTGAAAGAGCAACGAAAAGCTCTCTAAATGTCAGCTGATGAAAAGATTTCATTTTTGAAGAGTATTGCATATAGGCTAGTGAGGAACTCTGTGCTTGTACTGGTATCATGGAATTGAGATTTTCAAATACTTTTATAAACTAACTATTGTGGTTCTTAATTTTACTGGCTGAAAGCTCTATAATCACAGTGATTTCAAATAATACAGTACATTACCTAGTCTACCGGGTCTCAGTTAGTAAGGAAAATTTTTAAAACTTTCTTTGACACTGAAATTTTAAAAATGAAACTGAATCTTTAATCACTAATATTTTATTTGTACTCAGTGTTATATAAAATATCCTCATTTTTCATATCTAAATCAGTATATTTTATAAATTCTCTATGTAATTTTCTGAAAAAAAAAACCAGTAAACATGTTAGATTTTATTTTGGAACTTAGATTATTTTAGCTCTATATGTTTGGGATGGTATGATGGCATATTTATGAAGTTATTCTATGTTTATATTTCAGGTGATATTATCTGTATGATGTAGATGTAATTAAAGGAATTACACACTAAACTTTACAGTCTACAAATATGGCTTTTAAACATAATAGCATCTTTTCTGTACATTTGTAGAGTAATCATTTTCTGCATTGAATTCACAAAGAGATACAGGTTTATTGCTTAGGTCACTGAAGTCACAGTTTAAATAATTTTATATACAGAGTTTGGTTTCTTTCTAAAGTTCCTGGGCATTGCAATCTTTATCCAGCAAGTATGCAGAAACAAGCAAACTGGTTTGGTTTGGATTTATATTCAAAGAACAAAGACAAGTAAACATTAAAAGCTACATGTTTTTGTGGTACTAAAGGTGGAGATGATTACATTTTGTAAATGAGGAACAGAGAGAAGAAGTAACAGCAGTCAGTAGGAGTGCTAGACTGGAAGCAAAGTCTCTATTTATTGGATGACAAATAGAGTTAATGGTTTATTAAGTCAATATTCATGCTGTATTTGAAAAGGAAGTCATGCTTTATTCCTAGGTTTGGTAAATTTGTGTCATCAATTTGCTCTATACAGTCTCACCTTTGTGTCTATATTTGGATTTGTTTAGATAAATTTCAGTTCTGTTACAAAAGGAATTTTTCAAAGCTAGAGAAGAGGGTTTTGCCAGATCTCTTTCAGTTACACACTAAAGCTATGCTGACAGGTTCATAATTTGATCATTAAATATTCTAATGTTTCATATTTAAGGAAATTTTAAATATGTATAGAATCAAAGTATTTGAATAAAAATGAAACTTTTTTAAACTTGAAATATTCATATACAACCTAAAGATAAAACAGTTATTTGACATGATCAAAAATGTATGTGGGATCCTAACAATTATTAGTGTTTTTTTAAGTTGGGTATATTCATATTTCTTATATTTTAGTAGATTCAACTAGATACTCATATTCAGAAGTTGGCTTGCACCTATTAATAACTAAGTGCTGTTTTAATTCTCTGTGGCCCTTGGATGTTCACTTACTTTTTAATTTCCTATTGAAAAGACAAATTACTAGCAAAAGTTTGTTCCTTTAGCTCTTCGTTAGATATCCTTCATGGATTGCTAAACAGTTCACCAAGGCTTTTTGGCAGTTATCCATCAATGTTAGCGCATACATAGACCCACACATTTATCTAAAAGGGAGACATGCGGAAGGTAGCAGTGCCATCAGCACTTAGGAGGGGTGGGAGCGTTGGAGAACACAATGTAGTATTGAAAGTCTCAGTAGCACAGTTACCATACTTTGCAAATCATGGGTAATACATGCAACTCTGGGGAGCCACTGCTTAAATGAGCTACAAATGGGAATATGACAGTAAAGATAATGCTTCTCTCACTTGATTAGTGTAAGAATCATGTCACTATGTGTAAGAAAACTACCTGATAGATCGTAAATCTTTATCCAGCACTTTCTAGTTCTGCCATAGTAAAGTACCACCAACTGGGTGGCTTTAAGCAGCAGAATTTGTTTCTCTTTCCATTTTGGAGCCTGGAAAACTGAAATCTTGAGATCTGGAGGAGACATCTTCCTTGCTTCTTGCAGCTTTTGGTTGACCCAAGCTTCCCTGGGTGTGTGTGTCACTGTAGGCTCTACCTCCATCTTCACCTGCCACCCACTCTGTGCTTCATGTTTTGAGTTAATGACCGGGAGTAAGGCTTCAAAATACCTTTTTTTCTTTGAGAGGCACAATTTAATCCATAGTTAGCTGATTTTTTACTTCTGAAATTTAAGTGTGCAAAATGCATCCAACTGATCCCGATATCCTAAAGTGTCCTGACAGGACTGTAAGTTTAAATTCTTTTTTTAAAAATTTATTTATTTATTTGAGAAGCAGAGTTACAGAGAGGTCTTCCATCTGCTGGTTCACTCCCCAAATGGCAGCAAGAGCTGGAGCTGGGTTGATCCATAGCCAGGAGCCAGGAGCTTCTTCCAAGTCTTGCAAGTGGATCTAGGAGCCCAAGCACTTGGGCCATCTTCTGCTTTCCTGGGCCATTAGCAGAGAGCTGGATTGAAAGTGGGTGGGGCAGTTGGGACATGAACCGGCGCCCATATGGGATGCCGGTGCCACAGGCAGAGGCTTAACCTACTGCACCACAGCACTGGCCCTTGTGAGTCCAAATTCTATGTAAATTAGTTATGGGTGAGAGACTTGGGATATAGTCCAGTATGGGGAAAAATTTCTCTCCGTCTTTGGATTTGTGAAACTTAGAACACAATTCATCTATTTTCAAGGTACCATGGTGGGATAGATACAGAAAAGACATTCTTATTCCAAAAGCGACAGATTAGAGGGACAAAAAGATGGTACATAGTAGGCTCACAACTTCTCAGGACAAATTCCACTAGGTTGTAAGGCTTGAAGATAATTCTGCGTAGTTCTGTGCTCTGTGTTTTGGGCCTGCTGTGGTGGTCCCACCTCTTTAGCCCTGGGCATCAACTGTGCCGCTCAGCCTGGGTGGTGGCCCTAGCCCTGCATTTTGAACAGAGGGCCCATTACCCAAACCCTCTGTAACCACAGTTCTTCCCTCAGAGCCATTCTTTCATTTCATCCTCCTTTCCTTTCCTAAAAAATGCAAAACAAGATTATATTTATTTTTTTTGAAATACAGAGAGACAGACAGACAGAAACAAACATTTCACATCTTGCTGGTGCATTCCTAATTGCAAACAATAGCTGGGCCTGCTTGGAGTAGGCGAAATACATGATCCTGGAAGTCAGTTTGGGTCTCCAGGGTGAGTGGCGGAGGCCCAAATCCTTGAGCTATCACCTGCTGCCTCCCAGAGTACACACTGGCAGAAAACTGGAGTTGGAAACAGAGCTGGGACTTGAACCTAGATGCTCTGATAGGAGTGTGGGCATCTCAAGTGGCATCTTACCTGCTATGCCAAATCTCTGTGCCCCTATCTCTGGTCTTTTTAGGAAGGCTGGCAGTGTTTTTGCTCATATAAAATTTTCAAAAATCTTTTCAGCCTTTTGTGAAATTCATGGGAATCCAAACAAGAGGTCCCTCTATAGATCTTCTCTCTACCTGCATCTCTATTCCTGAATTTGAGGTTTGCCATTCTTCTTGTGTGATTTTATACTGTTACTATATAGTGTTTTATGATGGTTTAAGAGTTAGCAGACCTCATATATTGGTATCATTCTGAATTAGTCCTTTTAAAAAGGTGCATGCTTCATTTGTTCCATAATACGTTTAAAACGACACGGCTGGCATAAAGCTGTAGCTCATTCACTTTAACTCCTGTATATTACATTCTATGAACAGGTGCACTTCATTCTCCTATTGATGTATGTTTAAAAGGGTTCTCTTTTTCAACTCTTATATACTGTGCTGTTATAATCATTCCTTTACATTTCTTCTCTTGTACGAATGCATATACCTGAGAGAGACGTGGATGATAGTAAAATAACATAGACCCAGCTTGAAGCTCTGAAGAGTTTCCATTGCTCTGCGTCCTGTCCCTCTTTGGAAGATTTGGAAATCAAGGCTTTCAGCCCCGGACTAGCTTCATTCAGTTTTGTTGCAAAGTTCTTCTGCCTGTGTCCCCTTGGCTGTACTGTAAAGAAAGTTTTGTCGTGTAGGTAGCTGGGCAGCAGGTTCTTTTTTGCTTCCTCCATTCAGGAGGGGTTGAGGATGTGGGAAGCAGACCCAGAGCAGCACCAGGCTTTCATCAGAGATGGACTTTCTCATCTCCCATCTTCCATGGAGCACTTGGAGTCCCCCCTGCCACGTGGAGCGTGAACTTCCGTCTCACTCGGTGCTGCAGACCCAGAGGCCAGCTGGCACATTGTTTCACTGCAGTGCCGCTGCTCTCTTTCTGGGCAGTGGGGTTGTTTCTTGTTTTTGTTGTTATTTTATTGTCATTTTAGTTAGTTCTTTAATTTGGTTTTCTTTTCAGATTTTATTTTTGAGCATCATGTGCTTGCAGCAGAGGAGTTTTATCCAAATTTTTGACGTATCTTGATGTGTTGGCTTACTATGGCATAGGTTTGATAGCAAATAAATAGGAAGTGGTTGACAGTTCCATATTGCCTATCACACACTATGATGGATCTACTTTGAATTCCAATTGTGTGGGATGCAAAGATGACATTCCCACATGAAAATCAGAGAGTTTTATTTATATCCTTACCAAGAGAGTTCTGCAAGTACACTTTATATTAGTCCAAGAGCTTCAGTTCAAATTCACTTTTGGATCTAGTCAGCTATTTGAACCAAAGCTTTAATGCAGCCATGAAACCCTACACTATAAAGCATAAAAGAGTGACTTTGGCTTAAGATATTTTATAGGCAGGAGTTTCCATTTCTATTATCTCCATAGTAAAATAATTTACAAGGCTCTTAGAAAATTTTGAATTTTGAGCAGTGTAGTAAGCATATCAGGATGATTTTGCAACATAATGCTCCCACATATAATGAATCTAACCTGATGGATAGAATGTTTAGCATTTTACACACGGGTGTTAAAGAACATTTGCAAAAGATGAGGAGTTGGATTTGGCATGATTAATACTGAACTGTTCTTTTTGACAGAGTAACTGACAAATAGATTTGGTTGTTTCTGAGGCTAGTTCTGAATTATACCAGTTAGACCATGTCAGCAACAGAGACAGAATAAATACTGAAGGTGAGAATCCCATGATCTTTCAACAAAATTAAGCCCTAACTTTCTAGGTTGAATCAATGTGTCACTTGCAGATTAAATAAGCTGCTGGATTTTATTTTGGAGGGAGGTCTATTGGTAATCCTTAATATATTTAATTTTTGCTAGCAATAAAATATTTTACATTAACATTTAATTAACACATTTTCTTCTCCTTGGAATAATTATAAACCATATGAGTAGTAATGACATCATAACCCGTGAAGACACTGGCAACAATGAAAAAAATCACAATACTTATTTCTTATTTAAAACTTTGGACTTAGTACCAGAACAGCTTTATAAAGATGAATCCATGTGTTTCATTCTCTGTGTTAGTTTTTCTAAGTGACTTCAGTTGACTTTTCTGGGATTCATTGGAGCATCACTGGCTGTCTAACTGGAAAAGAGAATTGATTTTACTGTTAGTTCTTCAAGGATTTCACCATTTCTTGCCAGGTACCTTTTGCAAATATGAATGGTATTCAGACATTTCATGAAAAAAGTGTATTGTGTAAAAGCTACTCCTGAATTTCAAAAAATGTTTGTACCAAAAGCCTTATTTTTTATTATTTTTAAAAATTTTTATTTTCATTTCTTTTTTTTTTTTTTTTTTTTTTTTGACAGGCAGAGTAGACAGTGAGAGAGAGAGACAGAGAGAAAGGTCTTCCTTTGCCATTGGTTCACCCTCCAATGGCCGCCGCGGCCAGCGTGCTGCAGCCAGCGCACAGCACTGCCGATGGCAGGAGCCAGGTACTTCTCCTGGTCCCCCATGGGGTGCAGGGCCCAAGGACTTGGGCCATCCTCCACTGCACTCCCTGGCCATAGCAGAGAGCTGGCCTGGAAGAGGGGCAACCGGGACAGAATCTGGCGCCCCGACTGGGACTAGAACCCCGTGTGCTGGCGCCGCAAGGCGGAGGATTAGCCTAGTGAGCCGAGGCGCCGGCCCTATTTTCATTTCATTTGAGAGAGAGAGCGAGCGAGAGGACTGTTTCATCCACTGGTTCATTCCATCTGGCTTAAGCCAGGCCACAGGCAAGAGCTGAGAACTCAATTTATGTCTCCCACATGGGATAGCAAATACTTGAGCCATCACCTTCTGTTTCCCAAAGCGTGTGCTAGCAGGAAGCTGGAATTGAAAGCAGAGCCAGGACTCAAACTCAGACACTGACTTGGAATGCCGGAGTCCCAGGTGGCCTCTTCACTGCTGCACAAAGTGCCTGTCCATAAACTTATTTTCCCACAAAGTGTTGCAAGTTCCTGCACACTCTTGTTGGCTCATGTTACACTTTTCTTGTCACTTGACTTCATTATACTCTTCATTTAAAACTCGACCCGAATGTGTTTATGGTCAACTCAGGCTGGTTTAGTTGTCCAGCCTTATACAATAGTTATTACTATAGACTCATTTTCTTTAACTTTAGTTTGATGAGAAGTTTATGGCCTAAGGTGTATATATTGGATTAACTTTGCTCCTGTGCATTGAGGTGTCTTATATTAATGTGACATTATTAGAACTAAGAAAGTAGCCACTGGGGCCGGCGCTGTGGCAGGTTAATCCTCTGCCTGTGGCAAGGGCATCCCATATGGCCACTGGTTCTAGTACCAGCAGCTCCTCTTCTGATCCAGCTCTCTGTTATGGCCTGGGAAAGCAGTGGAAGGTGGCACGAACACTTGGGCACCTGTACCCATGTGGGAGACCCTTAAGAAGCTCCTGGCCCCTGGCTTTAGATTGGCCCAGCTCTGACCGTTGCGGCTGTTTGGGGAGTAAACCAGCAGACAGAGGACCCTTCTCTCTGTCTCTCCCTCTCACTGTCTGTAACTCTACCTCTCAAATGAATAAATAAAATCTTTAAGCAAAAAAAAGAAAGTAGCCACTAAAATAATTTTCTATTTTCAGTTGTTCAAAAGAGAAAAATTGCCACATAGAATTATAATCTTGTCCTTATTTGTTGTTATTTCCCCCCCCAAAAAATGTATAATCTGTGAAAACACAGGCTTTGTCTTTTCCCATCATTATATCTCTGTTGCTATCCCACTGGACTTCCGTGATGCAGGAGTTGTTTTTGAATTAAATAATAGAGTGAGGGATACTTCCTCTGGCAGAACTTTGATAACAGAACAGTTCAAGATTACCGGTAGTACATATCCACAATGTCCATGGAGCTTTGGATATATGTAACTAGTGTTGACATTTGTTTTCTTTTTATATTTTAATTCATTTATTTATTTGAGAGGAGCGAGCATGCCCACATATGCCCGAGAGAGAGAGTACTCCCATCTGTTGGTTCACTCCCTGAATGAATGGCAATGGGCTGGGCTGAAGCCAAGAGCTGGGAACGCAATCCATGTCTCCATGTGACTGGCAGGAACCCAACCATTTAAACCATGACTTGTTGCCTCCCAAGGGATGTATGAACAGGAAGCTAGGACTCAAACTCAGGCTCTTAGATGCGGGTTGTGGGCAACCCCACCAGGGTCTTCATCACTAGACCAAAGATCTGCCTCATAATATTGATATTTGAAAGGTCCCACTAGAGGGAGAGAGTAGCAGAAATCTCTGAACCATGCTGATATTTACTATCAGGGCATTAGTGTTATATTTGTTGCTAGTACTCACAGTTTTGTTTAGGTTAACGCAGAATCCTGTGCAGTGTCATTAGCTCACTAAAGTAAGAGACATCAGGTGATAAGGGTAGAAAGAGGAAGATGGTGGCAGATATAACAAGGGGTTTATGTTCTAATAAGAAAGACAAGACTTTAGGTCAGGACACCAGTCCGTTGAGAACTGGAGTGAAACCAGCAGTCAAGACAGAAATCATGCTCCCAAGATTGGGTTACATTTGGGAAGACTATACAGTTGGCATTCAGGTTTCGAAGACTGGCCTGAATGCAATGGTGTAGAAGATAGATCATATTAATACACATTGAAGCATCTGGAACTTCTAAAATAATGACTTAGTTATAACTGCCCCAAAGAGGAGTGGGGCTTATCCTCAGCAACCAGTCCTCATACTGTTAACTGAGTGAGTTTGGATCAACAGGTGAAGTAAGGGAAGGCGACCTCATGTCTCTCATTATCCAGCAGCCTATCTTGAGTTCCTTTATAAGGTGTCAGTGACAAGAGTTCAAATAGACCCTTGATTCTGGCAAGAGAGGACAGGCTTAAATGCACAAATAGTTTCCAAGTACCAACTTGTTTCATGTTTGCTATTATCTCATTCAATATCCACTAAAATCTCAAACACCCAATATGATGGTATTTGGAAACGGTGTCTTCAGGAGGGAAGTAGGTCATGAGGACAATGCTCCCATAAGAAGAGACACCAAAGAGCTTAATGTATCTCAGATGAGCATGAAAGAGAGCCCTCACCAGAACACGACCATACTGGTACCCAGATCTCAGACTTTTAGCCTCAAGCTCTGCAAGAAAATAAATTTCCATTGTTTAAGCCACCTAGGGTATGATATTTTGTTATGAGATCCTGAGAAGATGGATAGACACAGGTCACATTGTAAATCCCCAAAGTAAATGCAAAAGGTGTATTTAAATAGATAGAAGGAGGAGGAATCATTTGGGGCCTAATTTGCAATCATCCCTGATGTGAACAAATATCATCTGTGATATAATAAATTTGTATGGGAATTATACATTAATGATTTATGCTTCTTTTGATATCACATTTTAAAAATGCCCTTTAGAAAAAATGACCTGAGGGCAGATATTCTCATGTTATTCAGTGCTTCTGCCTTATATATCATGTTTGTTCTTAAGTATACTTCAGTATTATTACGTGTTTTTGTAGGCTAGCTCATTTTTCCTAGTGGTTCTGTATATAGAAGCAAATGACAATACATGGTGACTGTTCATGAAATTTGCCTTCACATAATCTGTCCAAGATTTAAAATTTCTATTATTTCGTTGTCAATTGACCTTCAAGCAATTTATCAGAGAATTTATGAGGGTAACAGCATGAATATGTATACCCAATGTCTCTTGTGGAAAATATGACTCTTGGCTTTTTTACTCTTGAGATGATTAAGTCTCAAACCTGAAGTTGACAGCAGAGTCATTGTACAGATTGATGTTCTCAGTGACTAACGTGTGACAGAGTGTGGTTCTGATTTATTATGCTTCTAGACAAAAACAACTTGCTTCATTTTTTTTAGTATGTTTACTATGCTGTTTTGCTAATTGGATGAAAAAATTGAATTTCCATTATATTGAAGTCATGAACATTTTGAATAAATTTATCTTTTAAATTAAGGTTTTATTTTCTAAAAAGTACAATTTCAGTTTGTTTCTTTAGTATGCTGACATGCTATTACTCTTTTCTTTTTTCATGTCAAGTGGTTCTTGATTTTTTTTAAATTATACCTAACAGTAAACTATTTCTCATACAAAAATCTGATAGTAGCTATTGGATTTTGAGTACCAGTTATTCAGTCAAGCACAGCATATGTACTTGAAAAATAATCATAAACAATTAGGTACATCCCCCACTAATGGATCTTATAATTGCTGGAAAATAGAGAAATCAGAAATCATTTTTATCTGACTCCACAGGAATATTTTGAATTATTCTAATGTTTTAAATTTATTTTTAGCAGTTAAAGTATACTGCAATAAAAAAAGAAACAAAAGTGTAAAAAATAGAGGGGATGAAGAGAATATATATATATATATATATATACTTTCATTTACTAATTAGGCACAGAAATGTTATTGTTTAGGGTATATTTCTAAATAATTTAGATAAAATTGATAAATAAAAGATTTTGAGTAACACTTATGTAAGTTAGAAAATGTATTAATAGAACAAATATCCAGAAACATACTATTCTGCTGAAGAATTTAATAGTATGCTGTCATCTGAAATGAGTTCACAAGGGATCTTCAGCAAAGTTATGGAAATGTATGTTCTGAAAATACTGTGCATGGATTTCAAACACTTTTTTCATCCAACTAAACTTGTCTTTTAATTCTATTTCTCTGCAGTTTTTTTGAAGTGCCCTCATAATTCTCTGTTTTCATCCTCACCTTCTCCTGATACAGATAACTCCTTTTTTAAAACGTTGTTTCAGGTCACTGCTTGTGTGTGTTTTGCTTTCCAGTAAAAAGAAAAAACTGGAATTTATGCTAGTGTAAAGACATGACTGCAATAGTTCATTATTGGACAGATTTGAGGGCTGTTGGAAGGGGTTACATCCAAACTGGATACATTTGGAATATAAATTGAGCAGATTCTTTCAGTGAGTTCTAAACCTTTGTATCCAAATGCTTATTAACGATGCCAATCATGTTTATAAGTTAATATCATCTGCACTCAACCCAAACTAAACATTTTATCTTCTTCCAGCCCAGCTTGTTTTAGTTAATGGTTTCAGTGGACCTCAGTCACTCTCTTTTTTGTTCACTGCTGTTTGGCATCCATTTTCCAAGTATATGCAAGGATTTCATTTCTTCATAGCTCTCAAATCTGCCCTCCTTATGTCTTTCTCCAAGGCTGCTATTTTCCTGTGTCTTTTCTAGATTCCTTTAATAGAACCTAACTAGTTTCTTGCTTTTTTTGTCTGTCTCCAGTCATCTTTTTTACACTATATTTAGGATCATTTTCTAAAATGCAGACTAACTCATTCCCTTGCTTAAAAACCTCAGTGATTTTCAAAGCTTTAAGATGAATGAAACATGTGCTTTTCTAGCCTCATTCCTCTCTAGCTCTGCATGCCATGGTGTTATGGTGCCTGCTATTAACAGGACATACCAACTTTTAACTTTTGTTACCTGTTACCACTCCCAATTCCTACCCCCTCCCCAGTCATCCCAGGTGGTAATCCCATTCCCTTGTCAAAATTCAGCTTGCCCAATTCAGCATGAGTGTTTTAGTCTATTTTCTGTTGCCATACAAAATATGGAACAGTGAGTTATATATAAAAATATAGGTGTATTTCTTACAGTTCTGGAGATTGGGAAATCTGCATCAATGTGCCAACTAGGGAAGCATCACATGGCGAGACAGCAAGCATATGAACTCAGGTCTCTCTTCTTCATATAAAACCACTAATCCTTTTATGTGGTGTCCCACCTTCATGATCTCATCCAACTCTAATTACTTCCCAGAGTTCCCACTTCCAAATATCATTACTCATGAGTTTGGGGATTAAATTTCCAATGTGTGAGTTTTTGGAGGATATGTTCAAACTCTAGCAACTGAAGACATTTCCTTGGCTATCACTGTCTGGGTTAGCCTTTCCTGATCTTATGCCCATAGAAACACAATTTTGTAATTATCTAACTCACAGTTACCTTCCAGGTTGTGTTCATTTATGGGTCAGAATCTGTACTCATGTCTTAGATCTTTGGCATCTGTATTTCCATTGTCTGGCACAGGACCTTGGCATAAAATGAGACACTCAATAAATGCCTGGCAAATAAATGAATACAAGAAACAAGAAGACCATAAATACAATATTCTACCTTAACATCATAAGGGTAGAATTAATATGAAGATGTTAACTTGGTAAAGCTTACCCTAAGAGTAGAAATTCAAGAGAGAAAGTCACTGCTCTGTGTATTATCACATCAGAGAGCAAGGATCTGTAATTGAAGACCAGTATCGTTAATACTCATTTACTTGGAGCTTATCCATATTTGTCATTTTTACTATCTCCATACATTTCCCCAAAGAGATGGTTGGTAATAACCTTAAAAAGTAAGCAGTTTTCTGCCTAACTTTAGAGACATCAAGGAAAGACAGGTGACGGAGACCATCACAATTTGTAGTCCACACTGCCAATAATAGAATTTTTTGAGACAGAAATAACAGACAGGAAGACCAAGTTCCTGGGACCCATAGCTAAGAAAGAATAAAGCAGGGGTGTCTGAATTGAATCTGAGAGCTTCCAGTAACCCTGGGGCTGAACAGCACAGATGATGGAGGACTTTGTCTAACCTTGAATTGTTAACTAGACTTGGAAAAAAACTTGAAATTTATAGGAATTAAATATAATCTTATGCAAATGAATAATCTTGATTGTTATTGTGTTTGGTGTTGAGAAGAAGGCAGGGCAGAGAAAAAGAGTATCTTCAGTTTCTACTCTTCAGAAGTAAGTTAAACAGTACATCTTCCACATCTTACTTTCCCTGGCTACTTTCTATCTCCCAGATAGGTTAATGTCTGTCATAATATCCTAGTTATTTATTCATATAGAGTGCAGTCTGTAACTTATTTATATTTGTAACGTGCTCGCTTCCTCTCATGACAGTGTACACTCACGGGAAGGAATTTGCCTTGTTCAGCACTGCATCCTCTGTGTTTAGCTCATAGTAGACTTTGAGTTGGTATTTGTTGAATAAATGAATGGATGAACTGATACCTAGAAATGAAGTCACACTGAAAGTAGTAATCCCAGTTCTTCAGATTCTTCACTCTTTATCTGCTGTGCATGATACATTTTAATTCTCTGTGGAGTCCTCCATCAGGTGTTTGTGGGAATCACATGAACTCTGAAAGAGAAGTCAAATGACTTTGTTCACTACTCTTTTCTCATTATTGCTAATACCCTTGGTGGAAAAAAAGAAGCAACAGAAAACACTGCCTGTATAAAGGGCCTTGTCCTCTGGTAACTCCTAAAGTAACTGATTTCCAAGGACTGATTCCCAAGGTTCAGGCAGCTATGGCAAAAATTCCCTTACTTAAGTCTGTACCATACTTTATCATCCGAATGTTAAAATATTGTGCACAGAGCATCAAAATATTTTATAGAAATAGCTTCTGTCCTTAAACTGTCCATCTTCTATCCTCTGGAACTCCTTGTCCTGAAAGTTGGACAGATGTGGGTACCATGCAACCCATCTTATTATTGTTTAACTCTCTTCTGGACATCAATATACTATTCTTTCTGCTTATAGCCATAGAGTAAAACAAGCAAAGCAAGACTCATAAAATTGTCAGTTTCTGCAAATAGATTCCTACAATGATCCTCAGTTCACTAGCTGTATCAGGGTTCTTACCATGGCTCACTAGGTTAATCCTCCGACTGGGGCGCCGGTTCTGTCCCGGCTGCTCCTCTTCCAGTCCAGCTCTCTGCTGTGGCCCGGGAAGGCAGTGGAGGATGGCCCAAGTGCTTGGGCCCTGAACCCACATGGGAGAACAGGAGGAAGCACCTGGCTCCTGGCTTTGGATTGGCGCAGTGCGCCGGTCGTAGCGGCCATTTCGGGGGTGAACCAACGGAAGGAAGACGTTTCTCCTCTCTGTCTCTCTCTCATTGTCTAACTCTGCCTGTAAAAAAAAAAAAAAAAAAAAGAAAGAAAGAAAGAAAAATGTAATTAAAAGATGAGCACAGTTTTAAAACTTGCATTCTCTGTTAACTTTCTGAAGATTCCTTTTGCAAGCATAGCTCTTAATCACAGTTTTACCTCCACCAAATCAGTCCTCTGTATAGAGCTACTGTTTCTATTTGAATCTAGCTGCATCAAAGGCTCATTGCAAATACCTTTTTTAAAGATTTATTTATTTACTTGAAAGTCAGAGTTACACACAAAGAGAAGGAGAGGCAGAGAGAGAGAGAGAGGTCTTCCATCTGCTGGTTCATTCCCCAATTGGCTGCAACGGCTGGAGCTGGGCCCATCTGAAGCCAGGAGATAGGAGCTTCTTCTGGTAGAGGGGCTCAAAGATTAGGCCATTTTCTACTGCTTTCCCAGGCCATAGCAGAGAGCTGGATTGGAAGTTGAGCAGCAGAGAGTCGAACTGGAGCCCACATGAGATGATGGCACTGAAGGTGGCCGCTTTATCCATTACGCCACAGTGCCGGCCCACAAATACATTTTTATTGAACTGCCTCAAAAATTATAAAAAAGGTTGAAATAATTTTTCCTAATCAAATTATCTTTTGTAGTAATTTCCATCTTCACTAGGAGGTGCACACAATTTAGAGAGAGATGGTGGGGAATGAAGAAGGATGAAGAATATTTCTTATTTGGTAGCTCCTCTTAGGTTCTAATGTGTCTAAACTCAATACTTCAAATAGTGATTCAACTGGTACACTTAATCTTTTCTATTTACATGGGAATCTCTCTGTCATTGGCAGCCTTGAGAGGGCCAGCTGTAGACATCTATGGAACCAATGACATTTAGGTAATTTTTTCCTTTGTTAAAGAACAAGGTTCAGAACAGTCTGAACTTCTCGGGATACGATTAGATTCAAAAGTCTGATCATCACTAAGAGGAGCCAGCTTAGAGCCAGTTGAGTACTGAGATCCCAAGAATTCCTGCATGAATTTCATTCCTAAGTTCCTTGGGGATAGAGTTTACATGCTGAAGCCAAAGGAACTGGGTTCACCTTATCCTCACAATCCAAGTGGAATTTAAATGCTCTTTAAAAAATTGTATTGTGAAATCAAATTTTTTTTACCTTTGGCAGCTGTTTAGCCTAATGGCTAAAACACTGATTAAAATGTCCGCATCCCAAATTGATGTGCCTGGGTTTGATACCTGGCTCCTGCTCCTGACTCAAGTGACTGGATTCCTGCCACCCACATAGGGGACCTGAATTTGTTTTCCATTTCCTGGCTTCAGACATTTGGGAAGTGAACTAATAAATAGGAGTGCATGCTCTCTCTCTTTCTCTCTGATTCTTAAATAAAAAGTTCTACTACCTAATTTTACCTAGCATGTGAATTGAACTTTATTTTACTGAAACAAATTCAACCTTTTAAATTGAATCATTGAGTAGCTATACACTTCATCATTATCTACAGGCAATGATCCTATTACTGATGTCTATGTTAAGGTTGTATGAATAATAAACTACATTCTTAGGGTTAATTTTATTTTAAGTCATATTTTATATAATTATATGCAAATATATTTTACTACCTTAAGGTTTAGAAGAAGTGAAATATTGTAAAAAGGAAATAATGTAATGTTTTGCATATCCTGATAAGAAATTATTTACTTGGCCTGAGATTAGTGTTATAGGATATATGGAGAGTACATATTTGATTTATTCATTGTTCACTTCTCTAGATACAATCCAGGATGGAGGGACATAAATAATTTAAAAAATATAATATGAGGGGGCCAGCATTGTGGCACAGTGGGTTAAGATGCGCCTGCAGTGTTGACATCCAATAGGGGCACCTGTTTGACTTCCACCTGCTCTACTTCCTTGTTTTTCCCCTCTGGCTACTCTACTAATTCAGCTCCCTGCTAATGTTCCTGGAAAGCAGCAGAGGAAGCCCAAGTGCTCAGGCCCCTGCACCCACTCGGGAGACCCAGAAGAAGTTCCTGGCTCCTTGCTTCAGCCTGGCTCAGCCCTGGCTGTTGTAGCCATTTGAGGGGTGAACCAGCAGATGGACGATCTCTCTTTGTCTCTCCCTCTCTCTCTGTAACTCTGCCTTTCCAATAAATAAGTAAATCTTTAAAACATATGTACATATAGTATATGATATAATCATATAGCTTCAATTCAGAGTTTAGAGAAGGGAGCTTTTCCTTTCTCTGAAATGAATAGAAATGATTTTGTGATTTTGTTTTAGATGGCATCACTTATTTTTATGGAAGGATGGATGTGATTTCATCATGTGATGATGCAGGAAAGTTGAATAAAGGGAAGGAAAGTGAGTTTCTGATAAAGAAAATTTTCTACAGTAAAACAAGAGTAGAAATTCTATACTTTATACAACTAAAATTGCAATGCGTGTTAACATTGAAGAAATATTGAAGACATTGAGGAAATACGGAATAAATATTCTAGTTAGCAGAATTGATCAAATCTTATCGTTTCTGTGTAATGCCTATTAATATCCAGGTGTTTCCTGACACAGTAGTTAGACAATTTGAGTAAAATGTAAAGAATGGTGAAACGTGAGCAACAAAGATTTAATGCATTTGAACTTCATAAAACCTGAATTAAAGATTTTTGAGTGGTGGGGTGACCTAATCTGAGAAGGAACATTAGAAGTAATGTTAGAAGATTAATCTTTTTTTGTTAATTAGATTCTAGGTTATATTTGGATTTTACCAGTATTTCCACCAATGTGTTTTTTTATCTTTTTAAATTTTTATTCAAGTTATAAAAATTTCATATATTTCATACATACAGATTTAGGAACATAGTGACACTTCCCTCCCTTGCTCCCATGCTCCAACACTTCCTCCCTCTCCCTCTCGGATTCCCATTCTTAATTTTTACAGTGATCTATTTGCAGTACACTTAATGATTGTATAGTTTTCCCTACTCTAAACAAAGGAGTTCAACAAATAGTATGAAGAGAAAAAAAATAAGACAAAACATTGTTCCACAATGGAGGAGACAAGGGCTATAAACCACCATCTATTCTCTAAATGTCTGTTTCACTCCAATACATTACATTTCAGGTATCCTATTAGTTACATTGGATCAGGGAAAACATGATATTTATCTTTTTGGGACTGGCTTGTTTCACTAAGTATAATGGTTTCCAGTTGCTACCATCTTGTTGCAAAAGACAGGATTTCATTTTTTTTTTTTTTACATCTGAGTAGTAGTCCATAGTGTATATATATCATAGTTTCTTTATCCAGTCAACAGTTGATGGACATCTGGGTTGATTCCATATCTTAGTCATTGTGAATTGTGCTGCAGTGAACATGGGGATTGTCCATTTGAATGTCCTCTCTTGCAAAATGAGATTTTAAAGAGAAATCAAAATGGGTCATTTGATAGTATCCCATAGCTCTCCAACAGTGTTTTTAAGTTTTCTGTTTTCTTGTTGTTTTCTTTGTTGTCTCACTGTAAGATTTCCAAAGATTTGTCTTCTAGTTTGGATATTCTTTCTTCTGCCTTGCCAAGTCTGCTGTTAAGGCTTTCCACTGCATTTTTTCTTTGATCTATTGAATTCTTCATTTCTAATATTTCATTTTGATTTGCTTCTGATTGCTGCCTGCTGGCCACTGCCACCAGCACTGCCAATCAGGTGTCCCGTCTGTCAGCTGCTATGCCTGCACCCAAGGGTTTTAGTAGCTGCTGCCCTAATCCAAAATCCTAATCCAGACAGTGGGCTCTGTTTTGGAGAGACTGGGGGCGGGGAATCAAGTATCCTCCTCCACTTCCACTGGGTCCATGGGTAACTGCCAACCCCCAGAGCTCCAGTCTGGACCCATGCCACACTGCTGGGGTACATGAAGAGAGATGTTTGTGTGAAGGATTGTGGGGCGCAATGATGGGAAACTAAAAAGGAGAAAGTGCTCAGTGGACTATTGCAGGTTCTCATACTCAGTGCTTTGAGGGTATGAGCCATGATGTTTAAGAGAAACAGGAAGAAAGATGCATTCAACAGAAACGACTTCTTATAGAGGAGGAGGAAGAAAGGACTCCAGCATTTTGGTTTCAAAACTGTTATTAAACTTAGGAGTAAGGCAATTATATATTACAGTTGGACACCCATTTAAAAATATCTTGGGAGAGCATAAAAAATGAAGAATTAAAATGCAGGAAAAGGAATACTGCAACAAGGAAGAATTG